TCTGGTCGAACTCGTGCAATCTGCATACCTCGCGGAAAAGAAGGTGCCCTTGAAGTCGCTAGAAGCCTGACGCTAAAGGCAGAGGCAAAGTGAAATCGCCAACACCCTTACGTGTTCCCTCTGTTACTTTCAAAACTCACCATTGCCGAAGCCGCCAATTCCAGCTGCCAGGCTCACCGACACGTGAATGGAGCAATTTACGACATTGCACACTCAGTTTCAGGGAATGTGCGAGATCGCCCGCGAATCTGGCTAGGGCCCGGCCCCTATAAGCGCAAGCACGTACGACTTTTTTGCAGTGTATATGCAGGCATTTGGATTACATTTAAACTGACAAGACGACCGAAAAGGAGGTACGACGTTTTTCGTTATTGCGTGGAACTGGAGGTCCTATATCGATTACGAACGGTTGGAATAAAGAACGCTGCGAAAACCGAAACGGTGTTTGGCTCAACTTATCGATTTAATATACCGCATATGTGTAGAGGCTTGAAAAATTACTGTTGGAAACAGAGTACAGAAAGGACTAAAAAGGAACGAACCTATAATGCTGCTTTCTACTAGTCGGTCCTTTTCGAAACGAAAATGATCCAATACGTACCCAGCACTCAAACAGCTTTGCAACCGTGAAAATCAGTTTCACGCCAACGCACCAACACAACTTTACGGTAACCTTTCGATACCCATCGTGCCTACATCGTTAATGATTTTATAAGAAAAGCCTGTAGACCTATATAATAAATAAGAGGAAAACAGCAGTCTCTTTTTCACAAGTAGTTTCATATTTGCCATGTACATGTGATTATTACACAGTTATCTGAATCATACTGTAATCAATCCACTGAGTCAAAGAGTAACAATCTGTGTAGTATCTAAGCAGTATATGCTATATATCTATCAAAAAAGTCACAAAGCTATCATCGGTGGAGTAACTTTCGATTGTTCACGGTTTGAATAGGCACGGGAACCATTTGAAATCGTCGTTTCAACAAACAGCGAGCATTCAGGAATCATTTCATGCCAGGCTACTACAATACACATATGTACCTTTATTGACTAAAGTGAATCTCCACTTTATCACATGCGTACACGTAACGTCCGTGGGTGATACTTTTTATTTATTTATACGCCCTGTTATTTATTTATACATCACTTCGTTCTGCCATTCTATGTTTGATACGAGCAGCTGGTCAATCACAGATTGTGCAGCGACGATCAATGCGCGTTGTCCTTTTTGATCGAACCGTTCCATCGTTTGCCCAAATCTGTGTTATCCATTTCAGCTTTGGCAGATTCATTTCCAAACCGCCATTAAAGTTACCGGCCTTACGATCGTAAAAGGAATAAATTGCTACAAAGAAGCACTGAATGCCTATGATATAAATATTAGCTAATTTCAATTTCTCTGTGAGCAATTTTTTATACGTCTTGCCATTGATGAGAGACAGCAAGAACAAGATGAGTGTGGAATTAGCAATAAATTCTTAGGCGGACTTCAGAAAAAAGAGGTCATCGGTCAAAAGTTCCCCTTAGACTAAACGATTTTCACCGGTAGCGACGTCAGCCGTAGGAGTCGCCTAAGCTTGGGCAGCTAACGTATTTGCCTACCAATCTTAAGAACACGTTGTGGTCTAGCTTCGAACCCGGGCTTACACAGACAGACTTCGTTGTGTGCTGACAGCCAGCTGTCTCATGGAATGCCTAATGGCGATATAGGACGTAAGACTCGAAACATGGAAGCTAAGGTGGCCTTGCTGCGACCACTGTTTCTTCAGCCACAACCTTTAAGGCCTAAAAAAGTGGGCGCCGTCTGTGTTTGCTCTAAAGATAGAAGGTCAGATAATCTACAATCTACTTACTTCGGCTCGGCTAGACTCAACTGATGCTTTCACGTTCTGGAAGGAAAAAAATGCCACGACTAATATTTTACATGGCCTAGACAGGCGACTGGAAGTAGCTATAGCCGCGATGATAGTAACCTACACTCTTACGGTATGGGCCATTGGGCCAGGAGTCCACTCAACGTAGCATCCGTGCGGATCCGGAAAAGGTCGTAAACCTAAGCTCAGCTACCCTAGAATAAGTACGTCAAGCAATGAAGGGTTACCACTAAATCTAAGAAGGACAAGGGAAGGGAAAAAGGATCACAAAAAAAAACAAGACGCGATTTGCAATAGACGTAATGATACGAGAATTTTTATACTATGCACTCCCTTTTGACTGATATCTGTATTTTAGGTTATGTTCACGTATACGTAAACAGGAATGCTGTAGAAAGGAACGCCCACATAAAGTGATCTCGGAAAAACAACAAGTCAAATAAAAATACTCTCATCCATGACGATCCTTCAAGCCTGAAATGAAAGCAGCATTTTGGACCCAACTATGTTGCATGATACGGATTTGTTACCAGGAGCGGCGTATACATATATATATATATATATACCGCTCCTGGTAACGATGTTGGTGCGTATCATTCTGCCGCCACAGACTCAGTATACTTCAGGAAAAGCATTTAGGCTAGCAAAAACATAAGGTTATTGATCGTCTTTCAATTAACACTTGATATTTGCTGTAGACTTACAGACAGCTCCGGATATTACCTGGTCACTATTAAGGAACTTTTTACGTTGTTAGACGTTATGTTAACACCAATAAACATCTGCGTACATAAAGCCCAGCACAATGGAAAAATGTGACTAAGTGCCATTGCATTTGTATCGATAGCAATAGCAGAAACAACTACAGCTGTTTCAACGGTAGCTTTTGTCATCAGACTATGACCAAGGCAACATGTGCTCATCGCCTTCAGCCACATTACGTTATCTTGTCCCACACGGTACCCCTTTAACCTAGCTCTGTCGAGGCCATCTTGTTCTACTAAGCTATGTTGACCTTCTCCCCTCCTACTTCTTCAGAAATCCTGATAGCGACCTTTGCACTACCAGACAACGTCCATTTATGCTGCTGGGTGTTTTGAAATTCCAAACAGAAAGAATAACATATACAGTGTATTTCGCATACATTTATGTACAGTTGAAAACTGTATCTAAATAAAAATAAATATTAAATTACATCTTTTTTGGAGACAAATCTATTTAAAACTACTGCCTCTGGATTGATCGGCTACTCTCGAAGAGTATTTCCCTAAGTCTGCAGATAACCTTTTATTAGACACCGTCAGCATAAAAACGATAGAAGTCTCGCTTAGACACACCGGACCTGAAAAAATCTAGCGGAATCTACATATTTTGGACTAATAATTGCCAAAGGAAACAAAAATGTACAAATTCAGAAGGCACAAAGTGTACAAAATAAAAAAAAAAAAAAAAAAAGAGCTCAAAAGCACTAAGCGCTGTAACTGAACTAGATGAAACGGTCGGCAATAGATGATCTTCTGTCGAAGGCCAGCACCAGCGTCTGCATTAGGAGTTTAAAAAAATCACAAGTTTTTTCGAGTCCTTTAAATCAGATCTCTGCTATGGAGCTTCCAGTTATCAATGTTGATTTCTTTCTCGATCTTTTCGCAAGCGGCATAGAGAACGGTTACAATGTAAATTGTTCATTTCAAGCATCCGACAAATTTGACTAGTGGACTTCCGTTCGGTGCAGATATAATGGACGGACTCTTCTCTGATACGATAGACTAAAAAAGAAACTACCTTCATTTACCTTGAATGCATGTTTGTTGGAGCAAACAGCTTGCTGTCTTCCAATTTATCCCGAACATTCTGTAAATTAAAAATGATACACCTATGTCCAATACAGTACAACGAATTTCCAATTGAAATTCACCAAAAGTGAATGGATGCGTTTGATTTAGCATAGAAAGCCACGTAAGGGATAACCGATTTTTCTAAACAAATACATTGGCGACAATTATCGCGACCTAAAAATGAGATCAATTTGAAAAAAAAAAAAGGACGACATGGAATCTATAACGGGTAAAAATCTCACTGCTGTCACGACGATGAATGCGTTTCTTTAGGCCATTGTTGTTGACCCTTTGCAAGCAAATGGTTACCGCTCACCTATTGGACATACATAGCTTGTTTTTAAGTAAGCTATTTATTCATATGCACACATAGACACACGTAAACACAAGCGAAAACTTATTCAGTCCTCAATTCTACCATTTTGTTTATTTTTCGGATTAACACCACACACACACACACACACTTCTGTTGACTACTGGTAACCTAGCGCCTTACTATGAACAGCTATTTTCTAATGTTTATTGTAAATGTATAAACACTGAAAATTTCTAGTGTTTTCCATTTTCTTCAATATGGTAAATTGCTGAATCGACCCTACAATTTACTCTTCGTGTATCATGTGTCTGAATTTTTCCTGATTTTGACACGATGTTTTTTTATGACTGACACCCTACTTCGATTTGCTCCGAACTCCAGTTGAGGAACCCAGCCTTCCTAGTTAGCATAGGAGTGTATTTGGATTGTCTTAATATCGGCCCTTCCGTACAGATGGGTCCAAATCTGCCCGTTTTACAATATAGCTGATCATAAGCTCTAGCTTTCGTTCATTCAAAAGTTGCGCTCGAAAAGGAAGCATTCTAGGCAACTATTTTGTTGTTGTTCTAAGAGAGTTGGTAGACTTTTATAAATCCTATAGGGCTGTGTTCAATTGACGATAGACAAACTGTTGTGTAAAAACAACCGAAACAATTTTCGCGCATAGACATAGAATAAGGTAGGACAGTGCCCTGGTTCACACTTACGGTGATTTACCGTTGCACGGTAACTGCCTATGCCACCTGTTAGAAGAACCAATAACGCAATAGTGCGCATCGATAATATGCTGGTATTAAAAATCAAGGTTTAGGATTCATGATACGTAATGCTCGTGAGCATGTTATATTTCCTCTACAGTTAAAAAAAAAAAAAACATGATCTTTAAGCGCCGCATATATCCTTGGCCATCAACCATGTTTGAGATATATTGCGAATATAGTGTTTTTTCTGCAAACTGGCTTAACATACCTGGTTAACTTTGCGGAAGCAACCGAAACATCCGAGAGTTGAGGTTGGTGATGAATCCATGGTGAGAGATAATGTAATATCACGAAGCTTTCTCCTATTCACGTCACTTCAGCACACGAAAGGATAGCCAAACCATTTCTTTCAGGAGTAGCAGCTCCTGTAAGCATTGCACAGTAAAGCCTTCCTAGAATAGGTCGTCGTAATAGTATCAACGGCACAGATATCCCACCACAAATGATGACTGATAATCACCAAATACGTTGCAGGTATTCCCACTCATCGGTTATGATAGCACAATAACGGATTCGGTATGGAGAATAGCCTCCGCTGTACGGCAACTTTCCAATTACTAGCCTGCATACTATATATAATCTGCATATGGACATTGGTGTGCTTTTCGACACCTATAATTTTTATTATATATGCACAGACCAATTTCGTCGAACCTAAGGAGCTAGAATGGGACACTACTAGATTTCAATCTATTTCATTCCCCTTCTTTCACAACCACTACAAGCAAGCCACAAGAACCGCTGTATATTAAACACCGCGTATCCTGGACACGTCGTGTGTGGCGAGCGTATCTGCGAGGAATCTTTCTCACGGAGTTTCTATATCCTTCGTAGTTGTGGCCCGTTTTGCTGTGTTAGGTTACTGCTGAATAGCTGAAGGTACACACGTTTCGATGAAAGGTTCGGTAACACCTTTAATTTACCATATGCGCTCATCATAATGCCATGACTACCCGGCGTGATGTGCATATATTTTTGGTGCCTGTGAGCTTCAGCTTTTTGGGTAACAAGGTCAACAGGCCATTACAAGTAGGCGACAAAAACAGCGACGCTTTTGTTAGCCACAGACAGGTGTAGGCTGACAGAGCATAACGCACATACCGGCTAACGTCTTCGACGACCATCGCTGTTAACTTTGTCGTCAGCAACGTTAACGCGACGTCGAACGTAAACGCCAGCCATTAACACACAGCATCGCTAATACCATCCTAACGGCTATCATAATAATATCAATGTTATCTTTTCTGCTACTGTGTGACATCATGGTCGCGACGTTGTGCCACAACGTCGCGACGCAAAAAAGCTCTGCTGCCCCTCGAGGCAACCGCACGACTGGCGGCCGCACAGGACCGACATTCTACCCCAGCCAGGCACGCCGGCCCTGTCCCATTACCACGGGGGAGCGCTGTAGTCGGAAAGGGCCCAGGTAGGGAAGGGATACCCGGACTCCCGGACAGATAGCGCAGGCCTTGGCTGAGATGGACGAGAAGTTTGGCCTCGTGTTGCAGCCCACAGGCCAGCTCAGCCCGCTCAGATTCTGACGCGGGAAGGCAGCAGACCGCTGCAGACTTTACAGTAGCAGCCGGCTAAACGAAAACTGGCAGTGGCCCGAAACCGAGGGCGCGGGCAGAGAGGGTGAGCAACTACGTGCTCTACCTGGGATGGGTTGTTTCCTTCAGATGAAGAGTCTGGCGCATGCGCTACCTCAAGCAGACGACACGAGATGATGATGGTAAGTACGGCGGTTGTATCCAAATCATCCGTCCGATGTTTCTGCATACACAACTATCTAAAGGATTGTGCTCACTTCTAGAGCCCTCGCGGACCCCCCGCATAAGTTCGTTCTAAATCATGTTAGCGTATGCAGGATTAGTATGCAGGCCCGGAAAGACAAAAAAGAAACTGCCGATGTCCTCGTCGAACACGCTCGCTCGCTGTTTTTGTCTGCTTGTTTCACCTGCTTTCGCCAGTGGCTGAATAACCATCTGGAGGGCAAATTATGCGATGGCGACTATACATTAGAGGGCAGTATTTTTGACTCAGCGAGTATTACTTAAATAACCTGGACGAGTGCGTAAGACTGGCAGTGAACCATTTCGTTTCGGATAAAAAAATCCATTTGTGTAGACAACATTTGACCTAGAAATTACTGTCATATTATTACACAGAACTGACATATTTCAAATTCTACTGCCGATGACCCTTATGGAAACAATTTCAAGGTTGAGACTGGTGAAAGTTCTGCAACTATTTGCGATATGAGAACACTTCTACTTTCAATTGATTTCGAGATCACCTAGTCCTATCTAAAGATCGAGATAGACAAGGGCCCAGCGTAATCCGCTGCTCTATCTACTTCACCATAGTAACAAAATGCGTTCAGAGACCACGAGTAGACGCTACCGAGCTAACTAACTTGAATTCGACTGACCACTTTGAACCAGCCTGTTACATTACTATACCCCCAATCGAAGAGAGTAACTGTACGAAGTTTTGCATACATAACATTTATCCAGTCGACAGTGAAATCTATTCAAGACTCGAGAACGCTGGGAATATTTACGCTTCAGAATAGTTTATGCTTGATCCCACATTCTCGGTTCTAATCTATTTGTGACAAATGTGTTAAGTTCCTTATTAGGAGTAGCGAAACAGAACAGCTACCCTTTTACTTGATTGGCATTGTAGATAGAACCCCCCAGGCCCCGCCCACCACTTGTTGACTTCGGGGTACTCATAATAGCAAATACTCAGAACTAAGCTAGTAAATCGCAAAATAAATAAGCCAAAACTATACACGAAGTTTTACACTACATAACTTAGCCCATCATTAGTTGCGTCCACCAAGCGTCTAATTGATGAGTACAAGTTGCAAAGGGGAATGATACAACAAATGATTATGTTGACACCCTGTAAACTATCCGAGTTGACGTGCCAATTTTAAATTTGCAGATCAATCCGATGAGTGTAAGCGTCAATTTCCGTTGAATGTTCAAATAACTTGAGAACTATGAGAAAAACAACACAATAAACATCAGCTTACCTAGTTTCTCACACGCCTGTTAATTATTAAACGTGTTTAATAATTAACAGGTGATACAAACCTGGCCTTATCAATTAACAAACAATAGCAACTTCATTCAAGGCGCTGTACCAGTGGTTTTTTTTTTATTCTTCCAGAATTGGACTCAAACTCTGCAATGACGGCTTTTTTTCAGGCTTCGGCTTTTCGGTGGCACAAATGTTTGATTCATACTTTTTAGTTTAGGAGCAAGTCGACTGAAACAGTTGACAAACTCCTTGTCTATCAACTGCTTCATCCACCGTAACGACCATCCACGTAATAGGCCCGCTTGGGGATGGCCTTCTTCGAAAGTGTGCCTCGTACACCTTTCAAGTCGTTCTTGATTGTACGTACTGTAAATACCGCTACATTTGCTTAAAAATTTCCAAACGGGACCAATTTTCTAAAAAAGGACCTCTGCTTTTTTGAGGCCTTCGTTGTCAGAAGCAAGCAAGCATTTAAGTTATACCTCAAATTTCGGAAAATCAACCCTCTGAAAAAAAAGGAAGCTTCTCTTGAACTGAATCCAGCAAGGCAAAGCCAGATGAACAACTGGCCGAGCTTGACCAGGTACCCTGGTGTAGCGAAAGCAAAAGTAGCTCATTGGTGCCTTTTCATCTTACATTACCATATTTTGTCAATACTGGGCACAGTTAAATAGTCGGTTTTCTTTTGGGGCATCTATAACGTACTCACCCCAAGAGTACTAGTATGTGGACTGTCTACTCACTGCTACAGGTCTACTGTAGCTATACAGACCCACATCGTTACGGTCCGTTGAAACTCTGTTGACGACAACAAAAAACAAAATAGGAATCACATAGCAAGTTCACGAAAAATAATAACTTGTTTCACAAAATTTGAGCTCAAATTGGAATGTTTACTTCTATTATAAACAGCGAAGATGTATTGCTGCATCATTTCTGGTTTACGGGGAAAGTTAAAGACATTGACTTGATGTATGTTTTCCCAAGGATTCGGCTCAACTCAAGATTGAGCTGGTAACATGCGTAAGGGGCCCGTTACTAGAATAGATGGTGCTTTGTACTAGAATTTAGCTAGGTAACGACCATGATTGTCTGCCTTGAGTGAAAGATACGCTTTGAATAAAATTTTGGCCAATAATTGGCTCGAACAGATGATCGTGTTATAATGTAAAGACAAAATTGTGCATCCTTCAAGCGTAAGTAATATAAAATTATTACAATTAAGTTTCCGCATGCAGTATTGCTCTACTTAGATATCATCTGTTCTATTGACCTCAACTCTCATGTACACTATGAGGACCCATTTGAAAATTTTGCTTGAAAAATTCATGCAAATCTTGCATATGAATACAAAAGCAAAAAAAAGGTTTGCAGCAATGGCGACAATTGGAAAAATCTTTTTCGCTGGTATCACAAGCTTCAGTACACCGAGTACGATTGTCTTAAAACCTTAATTAAGGGGACCCAACCAAATTTCAAAAACCTTATTTGAGTCGTCGTTTTTTAGAGGATGAACTTCCATCAGAGCATCGAAGTTTATGCCCGGATTGTAACCTAGACTACTTAAATATTCAATGAATAGATAAATAAAAAAATATCAGGTCGACAGATCAAGATGCTACAGTTAAAATATAATGGGAGATGTCCTATATAACAATATCTAGTTGTTCCACACACACACTTCTCAGGATACCACCTTATAGTTTCCAATCCAAAAACTCGTTCTTAGTGTTAGCTATCAGCCGGATGCTTTGCCTTCGATACTATATAAGTAGGGTTAATTAGTAATTAACAAACAGATTTTGTAGTTATTGATTGAGGTAACCAAGATAATATCCATAATACCACTCAGTTTAAATGCTATGAAATCGTTTGTGCTCGAACGTTCGAATTTGATCGATTCAGACCGATAAACGACGACCTAATGATAAGCACTTGCCTTGCAATATATCCAATTTGTCCACAGCGAATGCAAGGGAAGGCTGCGATTGATTCAGCCATTGATTTTGCAGAACGTTACAAAAACAACGCGGTGAAAAAAATTTATCGGACAATCTCAACCATCATATTGCACGAGTCGTCCGTCACTGTTGCCCCCCCAAGTTCCCCACACCATCAACAATGACAGTCTACCATATTATATTATTATTACTTAAGGCTTAGACGATTAAATGTAACATCCACCTGCAGATACGAATTAAAGATGCTTCTGTAAGAACTTTTCCCTGCGTCTTTTTAGTACTTTTTTTTCTGATTCACGTTACAAGCCATATTAATCTAAGTCTGTAAACATAGGACCTATCGCGATCCAACTGGAGAATAAGTGCCGCCTCAGAAGGATTCAAAGAAAAGCGCATTCTGAAGTGCTACAAAACCAGGACAACGATACAGCAACAGCTGAATCAGTATGAAAACTAAACACGGGACCTGTGATGGTGGGTTTGGATATATAATCAATGTGTTAAATATTCTAATGCCTGTAATATTTGTAGATCTAATATATATATATATATATATATATATATATATATGGTCCTTACACACCAAAGACATGGTGAATTATACTTGCCAAAAGCACTGGCCGCATCCAATATACCGAAGCTATTTGCTCATTCGATACTGGTAAAACCTTTATAGTGATTAGCGGTAGAGGATCTAAGCTGAAACGGGAATTTCACAACAATAGTTGGCCGACCCCCTGACACGTGAACCAAATGAACCGTAATACCTTGGCCTGAAACTTTCTCGCAATTGCTCGTGCATATTTGAGCTTTCAAGTTGTCACATTATGGCTAAATTACCCGGCGCGTTTTCCCTGATTCCTTTAACTTCGTGACCTGCTTTATTTAGAAGTCCTAACGCACCCAGTTGGTTCATAAACCCTTTCAGATTCGCACACTGAAATATAGGCATATCTATTAAATACGAATATACGTATTTTAACTTGGCGAAGCTGTCACTTCCGCTTGTTTACTGGAGATCTCTCGCGTATGGCGCTCTTTCAACTTTGTTGCCTGTTAACTAGAGAATAACAACTTGCTTGAAGGCCCTGAACTGATTACTCAAACAAACTGAAAGGATCTACGTCATTAACAGTCTCCGCTAAATTTAGTTATCTTGGCACCGCTGTTCATAGCTAAAACACATTCGTTGTCTCTCTAAATTGGAAGCGCTCGAGAACTGATACGATATAGTGACGATGGTGCTTCATAAAATTTCATGACATTTACGACG